GAACAATCAAGGCAGGTAATTATTTTTCCAGCCTTTTCCCGGCCGCTCATTGGTTCCCCAGCCCCCACGTGATCGTATTTACCCAAAAATACGGCGCGGATCAATGCGCAGGGGCTTTTTTTTCCCCTTGCTTTTTTCCCCCCTCTCCCACCCCCTTCTCTCTGCTGATCCCCGCGACCTGCGTTTTCCTAGGGGTCCGCAACTCTGGACCCAAGGCGCCTGCCAGCCCCTCAGGATGGCTTCGGTCTCATCAGGGAACCCCCCTTGCCCATGTCCACCCATCAGCAGCTGGCTCCCCCCCGCTAGGAGGATTTTTTAATGGGGTGAAAATGCCAATCCCCGAAGCCAGGGTTCCTGGACCCCCAGGGCTGCCCTGGGCGCGGGAGCCCCATAGGGGCGGGGAGGCCGGCCGAGGTAGGTGGAGGAACTATTTCTTGACGTAATCCGTCTCTGTCGGCCCCGACGCTCCCTCAGTCTCTCAGCGAGCCGAGATCAGCGATTGTCAGTTCGGAACGTGGCTTTTAAAAATGCGTTTTTAAATAGTGTGTATGTATGTATTTCTTTCAGGAGCAGCAGCAGCGAGGGAGGGAGGGTGGGAGGGGACTGGAGAAGCTGGGGTGGAGGGAGGGAAGGAGGGAAACGGGAGCGTCCTTCTGCCACTGGCCAACTCAGCCCCCCAAATCTGGGGTAGGGCAGGCTTGGAGAAGATGGTCTGCGAGCAGGAGGGGGTAGAACTTCGGGATCTCAAACACCTTCATCATCAGCCTCAGAAGTCTTCGCTTTGGCACAGATACACGAGCTTCTTTATTTTAAATTTATTGTCTGTATCTTATTTATGTTTCTTCGCCAGCTTGAAGAAGTGGAGGAGAGATCTGCACAACTTAAGTGGGGCATCCCCATACCGGAAGCCTGTTTACCCTCTGCCCCCAGCTCCATCTCTGCGACACTCTCACCCCAAAAAGAAATCGCTCCCTGGTTCTGTCTGCAGAGAACCTGGGTGAGAGCGGGCAAGGCAAGAGAGCGACCTCGGTCGTGGGCAAGTAGCTTGTTTTTACGTCCTTCAATAAAATTTTTATGAGGATCATTTGATTGTTCATAAATGTGTCTTTCATTAAATAAAATTGTAGGCTGTTTTTGGAACGGGAAAAAAGCAACGGAGGGGTAGGAGGAGAAAGCAATTTCTTTGGGATCCGATGCAGGAATTCTGGAGGGGGCAGTGTGACTGCAGAATATCAGACAACTTGATTCCTCTTCTATAAGTTGGTTGCTATCTTCCTCTTTGAATTTGGGGTGTTGAACAGACCTAAGCTGTTCCTTCAGACTGTCCCACTGTGGTTTAGTAAATGGGGGGGGGGCTTGGACAAGCAGAAAATCCTCAAAGTATGTTCAAGAGAGGGGGCAGGGAGGTCGTTTGGGAGAAGAAGAGGAGGGCACAGGTGATGTTCCCAAAGACAAGGTGCATCTAGGCAGGCCACTGAGTTTGAAGGGAGGGTGCAATTTCAGGGTCAGAGGGAAGAGTTCCAGTCTGCACACGGGGAAAATGCCAGAAGCTGAAGCAGGCTCTGAAGGCAGCAAGAAAGGAAGGAGACTTCCCAGAACCAGCCACGCCTGCCTTAGCCTGCCTTTCCCCTCTCCGGTCCCCTGGGGGGGGCCAAACGCTAGAGTTGGGGGTGGGGGCTGGTTTTCAGTCCTATCTGTATCTATCTCATCTAGGGTGGATAAGGGCTGGAGAGTGTAGTACTGTGCTGGAGGGGGAAGGAAAGTTGGGAGGAGGGTACAGCTGCAGCCAGCAGCATGAACCCCAGCTCCAAGAGCCCCCTCCCCAGAGGCTGCTCCTCCCCCTCTCTGGTTCTTTCCCGTTCGGTCTAGCGAGGCTGGGATTTCGACGCAAGGGGGGGATGAGGGAGAGGTTACCTAGGGCCTTATCCCTCAGCTCCGACTGTCTTTCCCTCTCACAGGCTGGATTGGCTGGGAAAGCCAATTACAATAAGAAACAGAAAATCTCTTTGGCCTTGATGGAGTCGGGTTAGCTGTCAATCAAAAATTCTCCCTCTAGTTCAAGGAAAAGACAGGGGATTCCAGTCCTCCTGCAGAGGCTTTCTCCAAACCCCTGGGGCAGTCAGCACCTCCCCCAGCCCTGGGTGGCTGGGGACCCGGGCTGTTTCTTAGGCGGCTGCTGGCAACGAGGAGCAGAGATATTTAGCCTTCAGCAGGGCCCGGGGCCAGACTGCGACCAAGAGGACATCAGAGGACACAGCCTGAGAGAGATCAAGCCCCATAAGACCTGAGACAAACCAATTGAAACACGGAGCCAGGCCTGAGGAAGGAAAAAAGGAAACGGAGGATGGGGATAACCAGAAAAAAAGGGAAAGAATTAAGGAAAAGAAGGAAGGCATGATGAAAAGAGATAGAAGAGCAAGGAAAGGAAGGCATGCAGAGAGCAAGGAGGAGGAAGGGCAGTAATAGGCAGATACGCAGGCAGGACAGGGCAGGGGCGAGCTGGCGGAGCAGCCGTGGCATTGTGCAGTTGCTTGCTTGCCGGGCCTTTGCCGCGGGACCAGCTCGGGGCGCGGCAGCCACTTCTGTCTGGACACAAAGGCGGAAGAGGCCTCTTCTGCCCCTCCTGGGGGACCTGCTCTGGTGGGTACACTAGGCCTCTGGGATACAGAATCCCACGTTGGCCCAAGCAGCTGCCCAGGCAGCTGGGGTCTAAACCATGCTCTAGTCAAGAAGCAGCGAAGAAACAAGAGAAAAAAGGTTTTGCATCTTCACCAGGTTACAGGGCCTGTCTGTCTCAATCTCATCTTCCCCAGAGGAAAGAGTCCTTAAGGATCTTCTCCTGTGGGCTTCTACTATGTGAGATAGCCCCTCAAATAGACTTGGTGGCTGTAAAAAGATGTTTCTTCTCTCCTATCCCTTTTGAACACGGCCGCCTTTTCAACTCTTGAGCTGCCTGTGAACCAGGCCTGCTACCCTGCAGAGGCAGGAGCAGCTTGGCTGTCAGGATCACTGTCCAGAGATCCCTGTTGCCATCAAATCCTCCAGGAAAGAAACCAGTGGGTGGGGATTGTTACCTTCCCTTCCTTTTGGAAGCAGGAACTCTGTAACCTCCCCACTCAGGCACAGGCTCAGCTGTGGATAAGGGAGCAGGCCTCACCCACAGCCCCCTCCTGGCCAATGCCCCATTTTCCCTATGCTTCACAGGGAAGCTGTGGGGAGGGCAGTTTGAGAGACCTTGGTCCACTAGACCCAGGTCCTATAGGTTCCACAAATGCATGTGGGGTGTAGCCTCCATTCTCCACATTTAGAAGCAAAATGGTAGATCAGGGAGTCTGTAGCAGACTTTCAGGCTTCCCCCAAATCCAGGCGTGTTTGGTACAGGGCAAAAAGATAGGGGGGCCAAAAGGGAGGAGCTCATCTTCTTGGAGTTATTCCTGCTGAATCTCCTACCATCCTCCAGGAGTCCTCATCTCTACCATTCATTCAGTCTTCCTCAGCACTCCTGGGGCAACCTGAGGGACCTGAGGCCCTGGGAGTCCCTGCTGAGAGTCGGGGAAGACCCAGCTCTAGCTAGCAGCTCTATATTTGCTCTGGTTCTTAGCGCTCCCCTTCCACGCCCAAAAGATTTCACTGGGCACGGAGAGCCCGCTAAGGGGGAGGGGCACCCTTCCTCCATCACCTCCAACCTGGACAGCTGAGACCACAATCAAGCTAGCATCGTGAGGACAGAAAGACAGGTTAGAGTCATCCCCTCCCCCTTCCCCGCGCCTCCCTTTTAGTGATTTAAATTCCCTGCGGTTCAATCCACACCGTCAAGTTCGGATAAATTTAAAACAGGCTTTCCCCGTGCCCCCAGTGGGCCATCCCCGCGGCCGCAGGCTAGGGAGCCCGCTCCCGGCTCCCCAGCACCCGCCCAGCGCGCCCAGCGCGGAGGAGGCCGAGCTCCATTTGCTTTCATTTTCCTTCTCTCCCTGAAATGGGCTCATTTCACCTCTCTGCTGCCCTCTCCCCCTCCCAACCCCCTCCCTGGTTCCCTTCTCCTTTCCCCCTTCTCTCTGGATTCCTCTTTGTTGGGAAAAACACACCCACACACAACTCCTCCTAGCTAAGGCCTGCGCTGGAAGCAGAATCTGAGTTTTCCTGGCCTGCCTGAGAAGACCCGCGCGTCCTGCCCCCACCCCAGGTGGGTATCCCGGATCCCTGCACACCAGGAGCCAGGCCCCCAGACCCAGCAGGAGTGAAACCCCCTGGGTCTGTGAACCTGGCCCTCTCAACGCCACGGCCTGCCGGGCCTGCCTTCCCGCCGGCGCCCCCGCCCTGCCGCTCCGCAGCAAACGGGGCTATTTCCGGCTCCCCCAACACGGTCTGGTTTCCCAGCCTGGGGAGTGGCTGGAGGGGGAGCCGCCCCAGAGCCAGGGCTGCTCTCTTCCCGGAGTTTCAATGGCCCTGAGCGCGCTGTTACCTGATCTTTTGTGTGATGTATGTGTCGCAAGGAAATTTGCAGTGACTTTGGAGCCCAGACTGAGGAAGCAGAGGTGGCGAAAGGAGAGACAATACGGCCCCGAAGTACAATTAAGGAGCCAGAGCCGCTCCTCTCTCCCCCGCCCTCCCTGCCCGACTAGGAGCTGTCTGGTCTCCAACCTCTGGGCGACTTGAGAACCTGGAGCCGGAAACTCAGCCCCTGGCGGAGGGAGCCGGAGGATCCTGCACCCAGAAACCCGGAGGGAAGCTGCCTTCCAACCTGGGGCACCGTGACCAGCCCCTCTGAGTTGCAGCGAATTCAATGAATGAAAGTGCACATTCCGACGACGAATTTTCCCCAATTTTCTCAGCCTTTGGAAGGAGAGCCCAGGGTTTGGGACATCTCAGACAGACAGACAGACAGACCGCGTCTTGTGAGGCAGACAGGCTCACAACATGAGTGTGAGCCTAAAATCACACACAGGTTCAACCTTCCCGAGGCCTCCTTGCCAGGCCTGGCGGGCGCCGATCTCTCCTACCTTCTCTCCCGCCAGGGCCTCAGGCAGAGACCCATAGGACTCGGTCCGCCGGCTCGGTCCAGTCCCGCCTCGGGAAGCGCCTTCGTTACCTGCTTCTCGGCTCCCCACGGCCACAGACGCAGGGCAGCCGCCTCCCGCCGGGGGAGGGAAGCCCCGGCCACAGCCGCCGCCGCCACCCGCCCTCCTTCCCTCCCTCCCTCCTTCTCGCCCTCCCTCCCTCGCTCCCTCCCTCGAGCGCTGCCGCTCCGGGGCCCTCCCGCGGGCAACCTGCTCTGGACTCAGTCCAGGTATCTCCGAAGGAGAGAAAAAAAGCACCGCTTCTGTGGATAAGGAAAAAACAAAAAAGTAGGACCCTTAATAGCATTTATTTTTCACGCTCCGACCAGCGGTGGGCCTCAGTTCCAACGTCTGGGGCGCAGCCCCACGGCCGCAGAGGTGTGCGGGGCCTGCAGCCTCGCCCACGCCGCGCCGCGCCCCACGCCGCACGCTCCGCACGCCCGGCCGCCGCCCCCGGCAGCCCAAACACCCGACAGACCTCAAGGTCCTTCCCACAGACTCAACATCCGGTTGCCCGCCTCTGCGCTGCCACAGCCCTGGCGTCCGCTCTGCTCCAGTCTGCGGCCAAAGTCCACACACGATCCACCTTGTCGCTGCTCTCGCGCCCGGCCCGGACACCCTGGGGAAGCGGCCACGCCGCGCTACACTTGGGTTGTGCTCCTGCTGGGGACTTGCCACCTCGTGTCCCATGTCCGGGACCCACACAAAGCCCAGTGTGCTGGCCTTCCTACCCATAGCCCCTGTCGCCGGCTGTAGACTTCCCCTTCACCTGTTCCCAAGCAGGGCTGCATCTCCAAGCGAGCCAAGGCAAGGCCGATGACCGGAGCGAGGTCCCAGGGAGGCCACAGCAGATCAGCCGGGTTAAGCCAGAGGCCCTGGGGCCGCGGAGATAGCTGAGAGACCGAGCTTCTCCTTGGCGAGCTCTAGCCTTTTCCTCCTTCTCCCGCAAGTCTCAAACACTCACACGCCGAGAGTTCAGCTCTATAAATCCTGCTCCTCTTTCCCATATCATAATTAAAAAAAACCAGTAGGGGAGGTTTTAACTTTTATTGCGATTTCTAGAGTTGGGCTGCGGAGCATATATTAAGTTTACGCTTATGCGCTCTCGGCGGGGAGGGTCCTTTAAGAAATAAAAATCCATCTTAATATCTGCAGACGAGAGAGATAATTTTTTTCCCTCCTCTTCACGCTGTTCTTTCTCAAGACTCCCTTTCAGCGAAGCGAATAAATAATTACCACCGCCTTAGCCATGATCCACGGCCTCAGGGCCCCGGGGTGGACTCGGACCACCACACTGGCCCTCACCTTGGCTCTAAGAGCCCTTGCTCCATTTCTTGGAATCTAGGGAGGAGGAGGACACCTCAATGCTCTGGCCCTATGGCCCCCTCTATAAACCTACCAGCCTTGAGATGAAAATAGGGGCAATGGGATCTAAGCCCAGAAATTGCTCATTGGTGAATTTCGGCCCATCAGGGGACACTACCTCCAAGTCAATGCTCCTGGGCACCCTGCTCCTGCCTGATTCTCGTTTCACCCCTACTGGCTGTGTTCTTGGGGCAGCCTGAAGACTTGGAGGCTCCAAATCAGAGGATCCTTGTGTGCCTCCCACCAGCTGGCCTGCCACTCTGGAAACTTCTCCATTTCCCTGGGCGCTGTAGAGATTTTGAGCACTTCCCTTCAAGGGAAAAAAATTTTTTTTCCTTCTCCAACAAAAGGAGAGGGGACAGACAGACAAGACAGACAGTTCAGCTGGGGAAATGAAAGGCTCTATTTCTCTTCTCTCCAGGTTCCTTGAGGGTCAAAAATATATGAGGCAGGGGAATGGGTATATGTCTAATTATATTCAAGGCATTTCAGAAAGCCTAGAGGAGACAGAGCTGGACCTACATTTATGCAAGGTCAAATATACCCTCCCTGGCACATGGATGTGAGGATATAAAAGTCTATGTACATATATTGTTATGGGGACATGCTTTTTTTTTTCCCTGTTTGAAAGTTTCTTTTAAGAATTATTATTTCAAAGTAAGAGAACCTAGAACTTAATTCTCTTTTGACTCCTCTTTTCCAGCATCTCTGAGAACAGGGGTGTTATCTCCCCATTTTTCCTGGCTCCTCCCTCTTTTTCTCCAAAGGCAAAAAAAATCTCTTTTGAGACCCCCCTTTTCTAGCAATTAGGGGCAGAATTGAACCAGAAAGAGAAAGGAATGGAGGAAGCATGCAAAGTTTCTCAATGCTCAAATTTCCCCTACTCTATTTTCTTCCCCTCCTCCCTCTGGCATCAGCCAACAACCTTTCCAACAGCATGGTAACAGTGGGCGCTGGCAGCCTCTGTTCACCCAGATACTTTCACACAGCATAAAGACAGGCAACTCCCTGACAGCGGTAGACTCACCAACTGCACAGACCAAGGCCTACGGGCAACAGAGAGCTAGACAGACCAGAGCCAGGTTTTTGCCCTAATGTTTCCCAGTAGGATATGCTTGTGAGGGTTTCTACTTGGACTTGATGGCTTTCCTATTATCTGCTAATACCCCAAATATGTCCTTCTTGGCCATAGAACTATAGAAAGGGAAGAGGGGGTGGCTGGGCTGTCACTCAGAGTTCCTAACTCTTGGAACCTCCAGGTGCCCCACTTTTTTGAGAAGCTCCAGTCCTGGCCAAAAGGAGGCTTGGTCTTGAAAGTGCAGGTAAGAGAAGGCAACCATTCTAGAGCCTTCCTCCTTCTGTGTTCCTCTCTCCTCCAGAGATTCTGCCCCACCCTTCTGCCCAACTGAGCTGGGCCACCAGGCCAAACTCAAACTCTGGAATTTCCTTGGAATTGGCTTGACCTTCTTTGTCTGTCTCCATCAGCTGGGCCCAGGAAACAATAGCTGCAGGGAAAACTCCTCTCCCTTAGTCACAGGGATTGGGACAAGCTGAGGAGGGGACGATATAAAACAGGGTTCTCTATTTACCCCTCGGCCCCACTCACAGCTTGCCCCCTCGATCTGCACCCACATTGCCCCATCTGGGGAGTCTCACTGGAGAGGGAAGGAGGAGAGATGGGTTAGGGGCCCTCGACGAAAACCGACTGATGTAACTCAGGCAGTTTCTTGTTGCCGAGTTCAAAACTCAATCCCAACAACATGAAACTACCTAAGCCACAGATCAGCTGAGAGAGCAGGGCGGGAGATTCGGCTTTGCACCTATCCAGAGGAGAAGGGAAGGGGGTTGGGGAAGGAAGAAATTCAGCCCCGTCCCCCTTTCCGCCCCCAACAACCTCCCTAAGGGCTAGAGAGTGGACTTTGGGTGACTGGGTGGCTTGGGGGGGTCTGCCTTCATCAGTTTCAGATCCAAGGAAATTGCTCTGGGAAAACCTGGTGTAAACGGGCAGGCTAGCTGCTAAGTCTCTGCCCCACCCCCAGCACCGCAGTGGAGCTATTTCCCTGCATCTGGCCCTGGCCCTGGGGGGAAGCTGGATTGTCCTTCCACTCTGGAGCTGGGTCCCCTGTTTTGTCCATCTGGCTCTCCTGTACTCTCCTCCTCTCTCTGATTCTCTCCCTCTCAGCTCCGCTTAGATTTACTGAACCACAGCCTCTGTGCTCTGGAGCCACTTTCAGCCAGGCCACTTGCCTGGCAAAGCCTCACAACCAGGGAGCTTGAGGACCAAGAGCCTAAACAAGGCTCATACCCATGCCAGGAAAAAACAGGAAAATCTAAGCTTCAAGCTCCAGCACTTGTATCCCCCAAACAACCAACCAGACTGAGAAACACCTAGACCGGTGCATGGACCTCAAGGTGACCCTAAGTGCCCACAAAGATAAAGAAGCCAAAACCACCAATTCACCCCTTTAACCATCGAACCCCACAGCAATGGGCCGGGAGAGGAAGAGAGGGAGCTCACAGCCACTGCCCTCAGCTGCCAGCGGTCACAAGGCAAGCCTGGGCTCTGAGCAAGCACCGATGCCCGAAACACCCTCTTCCCAGCTCTGCCCAATGCATGCTGGACACCTGGGGATGCTGCGAGTCCCCACTCTGCCGCCAAGAGAAGAACAAGAAACCGCTTCTCTTACCTTGTCGCTGCCTCCTCCTCCTGCTGCTGCCGGCGTTTCTGTTAGCTGCTGTTGAAAGGGGGGGTGAGCTCATCGTACCCCTCCAGCGGTTAAGTTTATTCCTCTCTTTGGATGGGTGGGGGGCTCTTGGGATGCCCCCCAGCAGTGGTGGGGTGCGCCAAGCCCAGCACCCCAGGCAATCAGATCCGTCTGCTCCTCAAGATTGCAGTTTGCTCTCTGCCTCTTTCCCTCCTCCAGTCACCTTTAAATGCATCTTTTACTGCAGCACCACATTATATTTGCAGATCATAAAATCCACCTCTCGCGCGCACCAAGACCGTCCTGACATTACTGTTTTATGACCTTGACTTATTGTGGTCACCTGGATAATATTTAAATCAACGTTATGGTCTCTCACTTACATTAAACCCGCCAAGAGACGTTCTAGAAAGACTAGGAGATGAGTCAAACACAAAACACACACATCCACACACTCAGCTTCTTTGGGGGAGGGGGGTGTCACTAAAAAACACTAAAAACAAAAAAACCACCCATTTGAGGATTACGATTCCGGAAATTTATTAGGATTTTTTTTTTCTCCATTAAGGAAGCTACATGCAAAAGATACAACATACAGAATATCTTTAAATAACACAACTCCCAGACATGGACAGGGCAGTTTTGGGGGGGTTGTTCTGTCTTTGCTTTGCTATGTTCTATTTTAAATTTTTTGTTCCTCTGGATGGAATTTCTGAGCTGTTAGTGGATGGGGGATGTGGGGGTGCTGGGAGGGGTGGGAGAAAAGCAGAAAGCAGTACAGATACAAGACTTCAAGCAGATTCTCAGAGCGACTGGAAGGTAAAGACACGGAAAAGGGTCTGGTGGAGACACTGGATGCTACGACAAACACACAAACACTAGCTGAACTTTCCAAAACATCTATTATTCTAAGAAGGAGATACAGCAAGGAAGGAGCGATTCTGACTGTGCTCTGCGAGATTACAGACCCTCTCTGGTCGCGTAGTTTCTTTTTTCCCTACAATCGGGTGGATTGGATCTTAACTTTCCATGGAGAACAGAATGCTATGTGTGAGTGCGTGGGTAAGTGAGGGATTGACACACACACCAGCCACACTCCCACCCCCACCTATGAGGGCTCACGCCACACC